ATCGGGTGATCAGCGTTTGAAGCCGATGACACGTGACGCGCATCGCACGACCGAACGCTGAGGTCGAGTGTCTGGTCAATATGACCAGAGCGTTCGGTCGGCCCGTGTTCAGTGCAGTGAGGAGCCCAACGGCTCTATTTTGTGGGGGCTTCTATTTAAGCCCCATGACCTGTTCAAGCTCTCTCTCTTGCACATTTTCATTGACATAGCATCCTTGTGAGCTTAACCAAAGTTCTCCCACTCATCTCCATCATTGATTCATCATCATTGTGAGATTGGGAGAGAATCCAAGTGCATTGCTTGAGTGATTGCATCTAGAGGCACTTGGCATTCGTGTTGCGCTGCGGGTTTTGCTTGTTTCTCTTGGTGGTTGCCACCACCTAGACGGCTTGGAGCAGCGGTGGAGGATTGGCATGAGTTGGTGATTGTTCGTGGCCATCTCCGGTGATTGTGAGGGGAGTTGTACCTTCCCCAGCAGAGTGCCGAAAGGTAACTCTAATATATTGCTCGTGTCATTGAGTTACCTCACTTGTGGGTAGGTTCTTGCGGTGTCTAATCATGTGGACGAGGTTTGTGAAACACCTCTTAGCCACCGAACCACCAAGTGTTGGTCGACACAACGGGGACGTAGCGTGTTGGCAAGCACGTGAACCTCGGAAGAAAATCGGTTGTCTATTGCCATTTGTATTCTCCCGGTGATTGGCTTAATCTTCATCTTGTGATTGGTTCACTCTCCGACGTAGCGGTATAATCGTATCACTTACTCATTTACATTTCTGCAAACTAGATATAGCAAACTCTTTAGTGTAATTAGAATTGAGAGCTTGCCTTGTGCTTTAAGTCTATCTAGTGGAGCTCTTTAGTGTAGCATTTGTGAGAGCTCTTAGTGAGTAGTGATCAAGTAGATTGTGTGCCAATTAATCATTGCTACTAAAATTGTTGAATAGGTGGCTTGCAACCCTTGTAGAGCTAGAGCAAGTTTGCATTTCGCTATTTGTCTTACTAATCAAATTGCTCTAGTTGATTTGTAGTTTTTAAATAGGCTATTCACCCCCCCTCTAGCCATATTAGGACCTTTCAATGGCCCTTCCTGCTGGAGCTGCTACGACACATAGGGTTCCCCCCACGATGGACGGATTGGATAGCTTTTATGCTCTCTTTGGCCAGCACAAAGATCATTGTCAATGGGAAGACAGGAAGGCGAATCTGCCATGCGTGGGGACTCAAGTAGCTAGGGCGACCCGATCTCCCTGATGCTTTTCATCATTGTCACGAACGTCCTCAATGCCATGATTGCTGAAGGTGATCGCCGCCGATTGCTCTCGCCCCTGCCGGGTGCAGTCATCAAGTTTCGGGCATCATATATGTGGATGACTTGGTCATCGTCGTTCTCCCAAACCAAGAAGATCTGTGCTGTTTGCGCATGCTCCTGGACCTGCTCGCGCTGGGGCGTCGGGACTTGTAACCATCCTTGACAAGTGCTAGTTATCGCCAATCCGGTGTTCAGACAATGACGTCGTGGCAATGAGGGAGACATTCCCATGCAACCCCACTTACTTCCCATGCCGATACCTACGGGTTCCTCTGTCACTCCGGAGGCTGAGGAGATCGGAGGAGCAGGCGTTGGTAGATGTCGTGGCGAGCAAGACACCTACCTACATGGAAGTCTGGCCTTCTAACCTACGTTGGACGAGCTCTGCTAACCAAGGTGATGCTATCCACGGTGCCGGTGCATATCTCAATCTCCCTATGCTTGTCCAGTTGGTTGGGCGATCGAGGAGAAGATATTTGCAGGTGTGCCTTCCTGTGGCAGGGCACGAGATCGACAACCGACGGACATTGCAAAGTGGCTTGGCGCGTCGTGTGCGCGTTGAAGGACAGCGGTAGCCTCAGTATTCCTGACTTGTGGATTGTTGGCTTCGAGCGCTACGCTTAAGATGGGAATGGCTGAAACGTACTCGGGGAGATGCAGCATGGAGCCTTGTGCCCTCCAAGGCGGAAAAGGTGGTCACGGAAATGCCTGATGCGTCAGTATCCATGGTCATTGGTGACGGACCACTACCGGAAACCGGCACTTTACCGAGTGCCGGAGGCTTTGCCGAGTGTATTTTATCGGGCACTCGGCAAAGACGGTCTTTGCTGAGTGCCAAATAAAATACACTCGGCAAAAAAACACTCGACAAAATGCGTCTTTGCCGAGTGCCTTTTTTCTGGCACTCGGCAAAGATGTATTTTGCCGAGTACTATTTTTCGGCACACGGCAAAATGCGTCTTTACCGAGTGCTTTTTTCTGGTACTCGGCAAAGATGTATTTTACCGAGTGCCTTTGTTTTGGCACTCGGCAAAGAGGCATTTTGCCATGTGCATTTTTTTTAGCCCTCGGCAAATCAGTTTTTCAAAGCAATGTTTGATGCCCTAAATGAATTCAAATGAAAAACTTTTCAACTACAAAGTTGTATAACTTCTCAAGATCTACAAAGTTTATTTTGGTCATTTCTTCATTTGACAAAGCAACAATAACGTTGTTCATAAAATCTACATCTCTCATATCTCTCATATTAGTTTCATTAAAGTAGAAGAGAGATATATAAAATTTGTGAACAATGTTACTACCACTATGTCGGATGAACAAATGAACAAAATAAACTTTGTAGATCTTGAGAAGTTGTGAAATTTTGTAGTTGGCAACATTTTGATTTGAAATCATCTTGTCATGCAAAAACGACGTTTGAATTTGAAAATTTGAAAATTTGAATTTTTCAAAAGATCTCGGATGGAAAAACTTCCTAAATGAAAATTGTAGAACTCCAAAAGTTATGAAACTATGTAGTTGACAACTTTTTGATTTGAAATCATCTTATCATGCAAAACTACGTTTCAATCTCTCAAATTTGAAATTCAAATTTTTCAAACGACCTGGGATGGAAAAACTTCCTAAATGAAAATTGTAGATCTCGAAAAGTTATGAAACTTTGTAGTTGACAATTTTTTTATTTGAATTCATTTAGGGCCTTAAACAAGCAATTTACTCTCGGTTTAGTATAATATATGAGTATAGATAACGGAATCTAGACACAAGTGATAGTGTAGTGCAGTGGTAGAGCAGCAGACACGCGAGGGAGAGGTCGTGAGTTCGAATCCCGCCGACCGTGTTAGCCGCGAATTTAGCACAAAAAATGCACCCACTTAGATGAAGACGGGCGGGCGCTGGTTGGTGGCGGCCTCCCTCGTTTTTTTTTTGAAAAATTTTGCTTTTTTTTTGGGTTTTTTTTTGCATTTTCATTTTGCCGAGTGTAAATCTTTGCCGAGTGCTTTTCCGGCACTCGGGCAAAGGCTTTGCCGAGTGCCCGACAAAAAGCACTCGGCAAATAGCTGTTTGCCGACAAAAAGATGCCGTGTGTTGTATGCCGAGTGTTACACTCGGCAAAGCAGTTGCCGAGTGTTTTTAGACCATTGCCGAGTGCCCTGGCACTCGGTGAAACGACTGTGTCCCGTAGTTGACGCACAACCAGCTTCTGGTGCAGACTCTTGGTTGCCGGCCGGCCCAGTGGAGAGGTTTGCCCCTGCCCTGTTCGCGGCTGTGTCCAATGGTCGAGAGCTAAAAAAAATATAACTATAGAACCTGTGCAAGTCAAACTAGCTTAATTTTGACCAAGTTTATAGTAAATATAGATTTACTATGAAAATATATTTAACAATACTTATATTGTACCATAAATATTATTCTTTTTTATATAACTTATCACAAAATTCAAATCGTTTGATTTCTCAAAACGTGACAATTGCATATTTCTTTGAAGGAATGGAGTATCTCTTTTCCTATTCCTATGTTTTTGTTCCCCGTCCAATCAGTCATTCCTACCATATCAATGGTGTAACCTATATCATGTGCAACTACTTACAGATAGATTTGGGAGAGAGAAAAATACAAAAAACTATAAAATAGACGTGTAATATGGCATGGACAACTCATGAACTAGTTAAGCTATTTGTTGTGGTATATATTCATGGCTAATACTATATTAATGGCAGACAGTGGTTTAGAGTGGTGTATATTTAGAGCATGCTTAGAACCTTTGCTGATCCTGCCTCACCTAGCCACCTAGCCCAGCAAAGCAGAGACAACCTTGCTCATGCAAGCGAATAAATTTGCTCTCCTACTTTGGCAAGGAAATTCATACCGAGGTGAGCTAGGTTGCCGAGCAAAGCAAGACTTTATGTACCTACCAAACAGCCAGGGCTAGGCCTAAGCGGGTGCAGCAGGTGTGTCCCTGGGGACCCAGCTCAAGCAAGCGCCCAAACCTAGGTATGTAAACACCCATATGCCATAGTCAATTTACTAGCAACAAGAGTACAAGTGTGAAGGCAAATCGAGATTGGTTTAGTTTCTTCTGGAGAAATGATTCTTTGCAACTCTCCGTCTGACTGCGGACCACATCTATGGATGGCAACAGGCACGTTACCCGCGGGTAGAGGGTTTACAAATGAGCGAATTCCCTCAGTGCCATTACAAATTTTAGGACTTCCATGTGTGCCATTGAAATCGCGAAATTTTGTTACCAGCCACCGCAAAAAAAATTCATGCGTTCTATGCCACTGTCGACGGCTTCCGTTAGAATGTTGACAGAAACAGTCCCTGCACGAACACTGTAGCAAGGCAAAATGTCGTTATTGCCCTCAAGGCCAGAAACCTTATCCTGGAGGCTCCTTATCCTCTCACGAACATAGCTACACGGTTCCTGGGGCATACGCACGCGTACACGCGCGTCTGGGCGACGAGCGCGCGCCACCAGGCCGGGAAGAGTGGGAGCAGGCAGGACAGTAAGGGGCCGTCGGGCAGGGGCTGGGGCGGCCGCACCACCAGGCCGGAGAGGGGCGAGCGCCGTCGAGCAGGGGCTGGGCGGCCGCGCCACCAGGCCGGAGAGGGCGCGAGTACGCGGCCAGAGGCAGGCCCCGCAGCTCCGCCAGACCGAGTGCGCCGCCGAGCAGGGGAGGGTGAAATGGGGACCTCAGATCCACGTCCTTCCTGGCTTCTTGCAGGGTAAGTGATGCGTGTTCTTCTCCTATGTTGTCTTGATCTAGGTGATGGGGCAAGTATGCAGTAGATCTCTACTTTTGATGCCATCTGAACTCACAGGATGGACCCTAAATCGAGCTATCTGTTGGAGATAAAGCTCGTTGGCAACCCTAGATGTAGGAAGGAAGTCTCTTGCTTTATTATCAGTATGGTTGTAGACTCCGACACCTGCAATTTCAAGGATCTTGTTGATGAAATTGTGGAAAAGTATCCTCCTGGTTATGAAGAACTTGTGACTGTTGCCTACTATGATGCTGCTAGTAGAAACCATTTAGAAGTCAAAACACATCAAGAATTGCTTGCGATGTTTGCCAAACATGTTGATAGCAAGGTGGTGCACATGGCTATTGCATACACTCTACCCTCCGAAATCCTCGAGTGGCCTAATCTTTGAACCTTCGTCCAAAGATGTATGAAACAAGCCAGCCTACTAATGTTGATGCCTCTTCTGATGATGACACCACTCCTGATGATGACCCTTACCTGACAAATCCAGAACCGGAGAATGAATTTGTGGGTGTCGATGAGGAGGGCTTGTACTTAACCAATGCACCTAAAATTGGGGCTTCTCATGAGGGCATGACCTCTAAGTCTGATTCAGAATCTAACTCTGATGAAGACTACGAGGAGGAGGATGGATTGGTGGGAAAGGATCCTATACCGCCTTCTATTGTTGCTTATGACAAAGAAGACCCCCCAATGGACGTGGGTAGCACATATATGAACATGAGTGAATTTAAGTTGGCATTGTCTTACTATGCAATTAAGCATGAGTTTGAATTTAACATTGAGAAAAGTGATCCAGGAAGATATAGGGTGTATTGTTCAAGGAAAGTACAAGATGGATGTAGGTGGAGGTTGCATGCTTCTACAATGGATGACAAAGTTTCAATAAAGGTAGCTCTGTGATTTTGTAAGCTTGTTTTCACATTGTTTTGTTTATACTATTAACTCGTACTTATTTTGGTTTCATGTCAGGTAAAAAAAACCCTCATGGACATAGCTGTACCAGTGCAAGAAGAAGTAAGGTAGTGAAACATGCAACCAAATTCTGGGTGTGTGATGTTGTGAAGGACTGGCTCACTGAAGATCCAACACAGGGGGCAAAGGAATTACGGGCTAAGATAAAGACAAAGTACAAGGTTGAGGTACCGTACAGGAGAGTATATGATGGTAACGATCTAGCACATGATCAACTTTTTGGTGACTGGGACAGTAGTTTTGATAACTTATTTAAATTTAAGGCAGAGATTGAAAGGTCATGCCCAGGTAGTGCTGTAGTAATTGATCATCACACAATTCAGGACAAGATTAGGTTCAATAGACTTTTTTTTGCCTTGAAACCATGCATAGATGGTTTTCTTAGGGGCTGCAGGCCATATCTAGCAATAGATAGTACTTTTTTGACTGGAAAGTACAAGGGCCAGCTAGCATGTGCATGTGCTGTGGATGGACACAACTGGATGTATCCAGTTGCTATTGGAATATTTGACTCTGAGACAAATGAAAATTGGATCTGGTTTCTGGAAAAACTTAGAGATGTCATAGGAGTACCTAGTGGGCTGGCTATTTGTACTGATGCTGGACAAGCTGTGATGGCTGGAGTGCAGCAAGTGTTCCCAAGAGCTGAGCATCGTGAATGCATGTTCCATTTGGTGTCCAACTTCAAGAAAAGGTACCGAGGCAAAGTGTTTGATGACCATCTTTGGGCAGCAGCTTATTCATGGTCTTCATATTTTTTTGATATGCATTGGAAAGCAATGGATGAAGCTAATACAGAGGCAATGAATTACATAAGGGAGCACCATAAAAAGATTTGGACAAGAAGTCAATTCTTAACCCATTGCAAGGTGGATTATGTCACAAATAATCTGGTTGAGAGTTTCAATAACTGGGTAAAGCCCTTCAAGGCCATGAATGTGGATGACTTCCTAGACAAGATCAGACAACTTCTCATGAAAAAGTGGCACACAAGGAGGACAGTGTCAACAAAAATTGGAGGAGTTGTTTTGCCACATATAATTAAAAAGTTGAAGGAACAAAGCTTCAATTTGGACATGGATGTAGATTCATGCTCAAATAAAGTTGCGGAAGTGTGTGTGAAGGGAAGCAATGGCTTCAAGTGTGTGGTGAACCTTGAACAAAAAACTTGTTCATGTAGAAAATTTGACGTCTCTGGCATTCCTTGCATGCATGCTATTGCATTTATCACTTCATTAGGACATCCTTTGGAGATGTATGTTGACCCATACTATTCAGTTCAAAAATTTAGAGGTGCATATGAGAACCTTATCCCTGCCCTTACTGACAAGTCCCAATGGCCACAATCAGCCCATGGCTTCTTCATGTATCCTCCACTTTTGAAGCCCATAGCTGGTAGAAGGAAGAACAAGAGGTTCAAAGGGTGTACAGAGAACAATGGCAGCACAACACACAGGAAGGGGCAGCATAGGTGTGAAGTGTGCCAACAATATGGACACCATTGGCGCACATGCAAAAATGGTAACCCAGATGATATTGCAGCCCTATTAGCTGAGAGGTAATGTATCCTATCTTGCACTAATGCAAACTAATAACTTATACTAATACTTTGTTGTACTAATAACTTGTAATGTTATGCAGGGGCCCTCGCAAGAAGAAGAAAAAAAATGATTTTGCACAAGAAACAACTGAGAATAGCATTGTTCCTGGTGCATCTACTTCCTCTGGACCAACACAAATGTATTTCCCACCTAGGTGAGTTGAAATCAATTCTGAAATGTTTTATTTCTAAAACCTAGATTCAGTTTTTTTCTGTTCCTGAGTTGAAATCAATCTGTTTTTAATGCAGCCAAGGCTGCTCTACTACCTTGAGCTCTGAAAAAAGTAATAAGTAAGTTGAAATTCAATGCATCAAGTACCATTTGCAAATGTATAGTACCTTTTCTTCTCAGCTCAAAGTAATAATTTGCATGTATAGGTCAGCATGTGGGTCAAATCAACCAGAACAATTATCCATTGAGTATCCTTTGCCAAGTTCTTGTGAAACACCACCACCTGCCCCCTCCCAACCTAAAGGCAAGAGAAAGAGAGAAGGCAAGGCAGAAGGGAAAGCAAAGACAAAGAAGACAAAGGGAATGCAAGCAAATAAGAAGAAACCTTTGGTGGCAGCACATAGTCCTGCAATGTGCACTAGAAGCAAGACTCCTGAAAGCCCTGCAATGTCTACTAGGAGCAAAAGAAAAATCCTAGAATGAATACTTTTACTGATCACTTATTTTGCTATGTCTGTGATGAGATTAGGTTCCTGGTATGACATAAAAAACTGACATTCATGTGGCCTGTCATGAGAAACTTGGTACTCATGCCATCTATGCGGCCGCTCATATTTTGCTAGGTATCTGTGGTGATATTAGGTTGATGTAATGTCATCAAAAACTGATGTTCATGTGGTCTGTGTGATGAGAAACTTGGAACTCATAATGTTATGTGGCTTGTCTGATTGAAATATTATTTGTTGATGACATATTAATTTGTAAACTCCTATTTTGCAGGTCATTTTGCTTATATATTACAAGACATTACAGCTCTCATTTTGCTTGATTTATGTTGTTGTCATGTTGATGTAATATGAACCAGCGATGTCAACTAAGGAGAAGAGCAAAATTTCACTTCATTCCATTGGAGTGGCAAATCTGTCTTTTTTGGGGAAACCTGACTTCAGGTTAACAGCAATCCGTCGAAAGTGGCATACAAGGGATAGAATTATTTTACAATGGCTAGTAAAGAAATTTAGCAATTTCAGTGGCACACACAGAAGTGGCAAAATTTCCAGTGGCACTGAAGGAATCCGCACCCGCGAGGCAAACCCTGTGCCCGCACCCGCGCCCACGACCCGTCACGGGCACGAAATTGAACCCGCACCCGTCACCCGCGGGAACCGTGTACCCACGGGCGCACCCATGCTCGCCAGCCAGATCATAATTTCACAGTTCACAATCACAAACTTGTACATATCACAGATCCAATGCACAACAGCACAAGTTCACAAATAACCGTTCACAACTATTGTTCAACGTAACATCTTAATAATAAGAGTACAAGCCAAATAAATATGGTTCAACAAGCACACGTGATAAGTCTAGAACAGCACACACATGGCTCAAATCACACAAATATTGTTCACATAATAGATATAAATGAACAGCAAGCTTAATCAGAGTCGACATGTGGGCGGGTTCGTGGGCACGGGTAAGGTATTTTCATATATACCTGCAAAATTTTCACCCGCGGGCACAAAATCAAACCCGCATCCATGCCCGTGGGTACAAAATGGTACTCGTATCCTCACCCTAACAGGTTTTTACCCACGGGCACACGGTAATTTGTACCTGTTGCCATCCATAACCACATCGCTCCGTTTGTTGGATATTCCTCGACGTGGCGCCGCGTGTCTATCTGACGCTGCCGATTAGATCGTCATTACACACTCACGCTAGGCCTGACGGCTGGTGTTACACACTCACGCTAGCAGTGGCGGACCCAGCGGGTAGTCCAGGTAGGCCCGGGACTACCCGCAAATTTGGCCCACTTCGCAGAGCCCACGAAAAGTTTGGCCCAAGCGCTCGCCATCTCGCCCCCAGGCCACGATGGCGCGACCGTAGCCCTCGACCTCGACTTTTCCAGGTGCGAGCAAGTAGCGAGTAGCGACCGCCGCCCCCCGGCCGAGCCCCGAGGCTCGAGCGCGGGTCCCTCGCCGGCCACCACCCTGCCCCGACTGCCGGTTGCCGCCCCCGCGTGGTCGTCGCCTCGCCAATCGGCACCCCCACGGCCCCACCGGCTGCCGCCCCGTGTGGCCGTGCCCGCACGCACATGCACAGGCACAGTGCTCTGCGGCTCCGCCGGTCCACCGGTGCCCCGCCGGCCGCGGCGCGCCAAGCAGCTGGCCGGCTTCCCAATCGACCGCAGTCCAGCGTCGCCGTGCGCCGCCCGCCCGCGGACATGCCAAGTGATGGTGAGGCGCAGGCGGCTGGGCGAGCCCGTGGAGCGCGAGCGAGGCGAAGACGGCTGAGCAGACGCGATAGTGCCTAGGAGGAAGGGGTGTGGCTGTGGAGAAGGAGGGGGAAGGGGACTCTGGCGAAGAGCAGTCGAGCAGCGTGTGGAGGTCCTCCTGTCGAGCGGCGACGATGGAGATCCGGATGGGAAGGAGAGAAGAGATTTTGCGGTCAGCGGCGACACCACGAGAGCGAGCGAAGCCCCTTCCTCCTTCCTCCTTGTTAGCTTGATGACATCACCCTACGTCACGCCAAAATGCGGTCATTTTAATACAGATGTACATAAGGCATCCTTAGCCATCCATGGTAAGATCTATGTTCTCTTTTATATCCGTGTTCTCGAATTTGCTATTGAAATTTA